TAGACGCTGGCCTCACGAGCCGCCTTGGCGCGATCCAGCTGCAAAGCGCTTGGTCCTGCGCCCCATGGGTGAGTGCTAATTAATATGACCCCGGGGCACATCATTCGGATAAGCGTCTTTTTCATCCAGTTAAATGGGTGTGGCGACCCGGTGTACACACCGTCAAGGGTGGACATATTTGAGCCTCCGCCTCTGTAAATGACCTCACTTCGAGTTTCAAATTCTCCACAACTAAACATGCTACGAAGAAGATCAAACTGTCAAGGTGTTCCTCTTTGTCTTGGCTATCGATTTACAGTGCGTTTGGCATGCATAAAAGCTTTGCGTTCAATATTTTGACCGCCAAAAACGGTCGTCGATCTCTGTCGGTTTAAGGTGCGGACGACTGTATAACCCAAGCTTTTGGGAAACATGGGCAAACACATCTATAAATGAATATGCATGCACTCTTTAAAATGATATCGTAGGCACGCTATAGCGCGACGGGAAAAGAGGCAATAGGACTCCACTAGGAGCGCGGCGACACGAGAGAAATGGAGAATATACAATAGTGCGCATGTTAGTAGTGCTGCTCGCACTTGGGCTTCAGTACAATGCCGTAAACGTAATGTAGCTCATCTCATTGACGCGACCATTCATCAGGTGCCATCAATTGCATCATGGTCTTTGAAGCGTTCCAACTTTTCGACCGTAGCCCTTGCCAAACGCTAACACAAATATTCAATGACGTGAAGAAAGTCTTATCGGACTGCATGGACGTGTACGTACACTTCAGCGTGGTGCAGAGATCTTGCGCTACGGATCACAGATCGTCGTGGAAATATGACCATAAAGCCCGAACGCATCCAGATGTGCGTGACGAAATGCTTAATGTCCGCGAGTGCGAAGACATCGCCCAAGAGATACGGGCCTTTCGAGGCGGCCGCAACCAACCGCTCTATGACACCGGCAAACAAGGTCGGGAGCGCCTCTGCCGCGAGCTCCTTGCCGAGTGCGTTTTTTTTGTTACGTCTACTTCGTTAAACCACGGAATTTACCGACTCATCATATCACCGGACGCGGCGACGATCTCGTCGACGCGGTACGCACCCAGTGGGTTGGACGTTGGGTAGAGACCGGTAAGGTGGCCAATATACCGCGCCATGCCGTGCGACTGCGCAAAGACTTCTCCGTCGACAGTGAGCGTCGGGAGTTGCTGGAACGGCAGCGTCGGCTTGCGCGCCATAAATTCAGCGTAGCTGACCCGCTCGTCCTCGAACGGGATGTCGTGGAGGAAGAGCGCCAGGCGTGTCAGCTCGGCGCGGCCAGGCGAGTCAAAGTAGGTCAGTTTGAGTGTTGGGCGGGTCATGGGCAAAGCAACAATGGCGAGACGACGTGGCGATGGAAAGCATACCGAGGACGCGATTGGCTGAAATCCGATCTTTCTCGCGATGCCATGGGTGTACTTGACAACTTCTTTTTGTCTAAGCTTAGTGGATCGAGCTTTACGACTAGTAGCGAGGGTAAAAATATGAACAGACACAGTTGGATGCGGGAAATATCCGAGTTGGTGGTCCGTACGTAATGCTGCGCAGTGTCTTGTTCAGTGCATTAATTAATCAATGCTACTTGTAACGTTGGACGGGACATCAACCCAGGCATGCGCATTATTTTCCTCATCCAGCGACTGTTCTTTATCACAGCCGTATTGAGCGTGTTGACACTACGGTGCCTTGCGCTGGCGTAGCACTGCGTACATGTATGCGAAGTCTTTGTTATGAAGATAACGCGAAAGACGATCATATACATATATAAAGAACCATGTTTTGATGAACAGAGGCCGGCGCATCGACCAAAACGAAGATTGAAAGTGAAATCGCCTATACTTGCCAGAGTGCTAGACCACACAGCGGCAAACATTTCTATATATAGTGTGCTTATTTGATATACCAAAATACTGTATTATGATACAGGCCTCATCACACAGCGGTATCGCACTTTGCCTCCCTCGGCCACATGCAAAGCGCTCTTTAGCATGAACAAATAGAGATGGCGTCCTCGGCTCCCGCGATTTCGACTCATTTTCAACCGAAATTGCATGTCTAATTTCCTGAAAACCGACGCTCGTCAGTTCGAGTTTGGTGTGAGTGCCCAAGCAACGACGGCGCCCAACAAACTGGACGCACACTGGGCCGAGATGCATCGCCAACTGTTGCAGTCCAGGTTTATGGTCTTCAGAGCTTTGGAACCCCGCGATATCTCGTGAAGTATTTGGGCAATTCTGCCACCACCTCGAAAAATGGAAAATGAATTTGCGCGTGATTGCGCTACGTGCAGCGTCGGAAACGACATTTCTATCATTTAAGAAGTGTGTGGAGAGGTATACCCGGCTGCTACGTGGCCCTGGCGCGTCTGTGGACTGCTACTCGTCGTTGTGCTGAATGGTGCTCACACTATTTCAGCGGGGTCGTGAACCAAGTCTTGTGATTGGCAAAAACTATTGAGCCAATTAAAACATCCTTTCCTGATTGTGTTCCAAACGGATCCACAAGCACAAGAAGTGGCGTGGACGCGCGCGAACATCAAGAAGGTCCGGCGCGACGAGCGGCTGCATGAAGAGGCAGAGCGCGCTGCCTTCCGCGAGAAGCGCAAGTGGACCTCGACGTCGAGGGTGCCTTGCAACGACAGCCCTCACTAGCCTCACTAGCATCAACAATGACGTATAAGACCAAGCGGTTTCGCGATGAAATGACGAAATGGTTCGATTTGGGGTACTCGTAGAGAGCTAAAGAACCAGCGGGTCAATTCCAGTAGAGATATCTTGCAATACACCGCGCGATGCGATGAGCGCTCGCCTTTGAACTGGATATCGAATGGACCGGCGCACTGCAAAATGTGATGCGAAAGACATCAAGTGACCGAACGGGCTCTCGTAGAAAGCAACAGTATGTAGCTACAACGCGTTATCGGGCAGGACAACATACGCCGTAGCTTGTACTCGTTGTTTGGGTCATTGGAACACTGGTCCTTGACCAGACTTGGCAAAGACGTGGCGCTTGCGTGAATCCAAACTAATGTGGTAGACGCCCCGTGTCAAAGCTAACAAGCAACTGGATGTTCGACGACGGTGATCGTTTTTTTCTTTTGTCATTTGTGTCAAAATGCGCGTTGCACCGTGGTCAGCGCTTCACGAATAGATAACATAGCGCGACACGATTGTGTTGCAATGTCGTCTATTGCCGATACACCATTGTATTAGTACAAGGCTAGGTGTGCTTGTTGCAACGCGTTTGCTCAAGTTGCTTTAATCCAACATCGACGATACGATATGTGTTGTGGCGCTCATATCGGATACAAAACAAAAGTGTATTACGTGGCGTCTCGTCAGCACAGCGGTTACGGGTGTTGGATGTACCACGCCTGGACCTTGGGAAGGGCCGCGACGGCGTCCGCGATCGCCTGCCAGCGCGGGTAGCCGTCGCAAAGCGTTGTCGGAAGACCAACCATCTTGCCCGACTGCAGGTTCATGCGCATCACAAAGAGCTCGATATCAGCGAGCGAGAGCGTCTCGCCCAAGAGATACGGGCCCTTGGAAGCGGCCGCAACCAACCGTGCTTCGACACCGGCAAACAAGGCCGGAAGCGCCTCTGCCGCGAGCTCCTTCGCAATCGCAAGCTTCTTCTCAGTGTCCGACTCGTAAAAGTACGGTAGGAGTTTGCCCGTGATGTCGTCAGACGCGGCGAGGATCTCGTCGACGCGGTACGCACCGAGCGGGTTGGACGTTGGGTAGAGACCCGTGAGCGCGCCGACATAGCGCGCCATGCCATGGGACTGCGTAAAGACTTCACCGTCGACAGTGAGCGTCGGGAGCTGCTTGAACGGCAGCGTCGGCTTGCGCACGAGAAACGCATCGTAGCTGACGCGCTCGTCCTCGAACGGCACGTCGTTGAGGAAGAGCGCGAGGCGCGTGAGCTCGGCGCGGCCGGATGCGTCAAAGTAGGTGAGCTTCAGCGTCGGTTGGCTCATGGCGATGAAAATTGAAAAGTGAATTGGTGCCGGGAGCTGCTTTCGTTGTTCGAACACGACGTCGCGACGCGTAATCGAGCTAGTGGCGGTAGATTCGATCTTTGCCGCTCTCGGATTGGCGGAGAGATGGCGCATTGGTTCGAAACCAGCCAATCCAGCAAGCTCCCGGGCGTGTCAAAAACAGTGCAAATCGACGAGCTAACGTGTTCGGCAGTGTTCCAGCTGCTGTCGACTTGATGTTTGTATGCCACAGTGCACGGTGCTTGGCGGATTTGTCTCGAAGTCGTGATGAGGTAATCGATTTCCGCAATCTCAAGTGGAGACGAATAGACAAATGCGCTGCGCCTGACCTCGCAGTGCACATCATACGGATATACAGTATGCAAGTCATGAAGCCCGCGACCATCTCTGCTCGAAACTATTGTATCTCGTGTAAACGAGGTGAGATGCGGACGCTGGTTTTTGTACCTATTTCTATCGCGCGGCCATAGCGCGTCGAGTATGCTATTGCTAAAGGGATGGCGATGTGTGGCCCTCTGCTGCAGTGGACAGAGGGAGACAATTCGTGTAGATTTGGATGACTTTCTGGTCCACGAGAATATCGGTACTGCCGTGAAGCACTGGGTTCTTGGTGGCAGATAAAAAGTCGGAAGGGTGAAATGTTGCAACAGACACTGTTGGATGGGGAATTATCCAGGGGGCTCCGATACTGATTGCTGCGCAGTGTCTTGCTAGAGGAGTGAATGATCCATACCAATTGGTGCGTTTGCGAGGACTTCGAACCCACGCACTCGCATCCTTTTCTGCAGCCAGCAATTCGGACTTTTTTCTTGGGCTACGATGCATTGAGAAAGAGATGACAAAAACAAAGCTTTCACTGGCACCATTCAGATTTTCTGTCCGATTCGGGGTATGACTCTGCTTCCTCCGCAGCGACTTGTAGCTGCACAACAAAAAAGGGATAAGATGCGAGCACAGACACTGGTTTGGATCAGAATGCGTGGATTGATAATTGCTGCACAGTGCCTTGCTAAATAGAGATGTTTGCTGTACCGTAGGAAATTTTGGTCATGGCATCGAACCCAGCCATGCGCGGCCCTTTTATTGTTTCCTGCTAGAGACCATCATTGTATTAATACTGCCGGTCGGCGTCGCATCGAGAAACACCGCGACCGGCTCCCACGAGGGCATCGAGAGGACGTGCGTAAGAAGAACATCCGAAAGGTTGCGTACTACGGACAGACACACGCCGTTGACGCGAGGCTTCGTGGAGGCAGGCGCCGTCTCGTCGTCGTCGTCCAAGATGCCGGGTGTACGGCCTGAGAGGGCATGCTGCACCGCGCGGACTTTCGCCTTTAGTGGCCGTTGCGAGTGCATTGGCGACCGCTGTCGCGTGCTCTTGCGCAGCCATTGCGTGATCGCTTTGGAGCCAAGCGATGGCCATCGCGAGAGCGGTGCGTCGAGCGCTGCAACATCGGCGATCGTTGTGGCCATCGCTTGTAGCTCGTGGCCGACGTCTCCGAGCGTCGCATCGCCTTGACTGCCCATGATGACCCCCTTGCCTGCCGGTGCATTGATGCCATGCGTCGTGGTCATCGTCGTCTTGGCCTCTTGGTCGCGGAGGCAAATCATGAAAAATTATCTCAGTGCGCCTCTGATTGGCTTGATGTTTCTAAGCGTCGCGATCGGATTGGTTTAAAATCAAACCGAGCGGTGACAGGGCAGCTGTCCACGTGCTCGGGCAGCAAGCAGCGACAAGGCGACAGGCGTGTTCGACGGGCGCCACCGACGTTCGCTACATGCTGCTGGGCGTCGGCTGCACGCTGCCATGGATGCGCCACGAGAGGTCCTCACGGCGACACCGATCACGACGCAGCCAACGGCGACACGGTGGCACCACTGCAACCCGGTGACGACACCCGCCTGCACGCGGCCAGGCGAGTGGTTTCGGCGTGGTAGGCTCTGCACAGTGAGAGCCATCGTGCGGCCAGCCGTCGATGGTCGCGGCAGCCGACCACCTTCAACCTGACAGAGCGCTCGATTCGGTGGCGCCGCCCCATGCAGCGAGGAGTCGACAGTCAGGAGCGCAGCCATTGTCGCCAGCTACAACGTCCGAGATGGCGATGTACAGTACAGTTCACGACGTCGATCACGTCGGCGTTCTCGTTGTAGCGTAGCAGAGGTTCCCGCGTCCGCTAGCAGCTCCACGACATGCACAATATGCACACGGCCATGGGGGAAGCGTGGCGACAGTTAGAAGAGTCCTCATCCTGGACCGCATCGAGAGTCAATCAATGCAGGCCAGTCCTTTCGAGGCCCTTGCCAGCACGTGTTGGGTATCTC